CCATACTGATGCATGATGAGAGAAGCGTTGAGATTTACCTGATGCCACTGACATCAAGGGGTTCATCAAACGGTTGACATCTCTTAAAATGTATTTCTAACTGCATGTCCTTCCTTCTTCCTTAGACTTTTAAGAATTACATTTCTAATGAAATTACATTACTTTGAGATCCCGTTGATCTGCATCGAAACACTGACGTAAAGTCTTTGACTCATAGCAGTAAAACAATAAAACATGATCACTTCCGAGGGGGTAAACAATTTTCATAGGCACAGTAAACTTTTTTTTTCAAACCATTAAGGATTGTAATGGGAATTTCATAAGAACCATCTTTAAAACACTGCCATGTAACTAATCTCACTAGGGGCCTCCAGGGGTCAATGGAAGGTAAATGTGTGTGATGCTTTAACATATGTCCAGTGGGGTCAGGACTCAGTGGTTCACCACATGTACCTTGGACATGGGCGTCTTTCTATAGATCCAGATTGAGTGTCCCCTCGGGAACGCTCAAAGACACCTTGATGAGATAGTTCTCCGACCCTGAGACTAAGATAAAAGCTGCATGAGCTGTTACACTGCAGCTCACTTGGATGATACTCTCTGATGCGTATGTGTCCCTGTGAGTTCCTTCTGCAGAAGACTTGAATAAAATTCACAGAAAGACAAGTGTTTGCCTGAGCTGTTTATTTAAACATCCTTTTCCCACCACATCATATAAATCATTTGATTTTCTATACAATCCTACATCATATTAACTTTAAATTAACAACAACAGAAGAGTGAAAGTCTCAAGCTAGAAGGAGAGGGAAAAAGGCAAAAAGCATTTACATTTACTCATTTAACAGACACTTTTATCCAAAGTGACTTACATTTGATGAACAACATACAACATTTGAGGAACAACATACAGCATTATACCACCTCTTTAACATAGTTTGGTTTATTGAGCCCAGCCAAGGAGATACAGTGCCAGCATTCAACATTTGAACACGTTAAATGCCAACACCAAATCTGAACGATAACAACAGAGCATTTGGTCACTTTTATGTTTCTGTCTTCCCCCTAGTTCCTGTAGGTTTTCCTCTTAGTTCATCTTTAGCTGGCCTTTACCTAGAACAACAAATCTATCTGATGTTTAGACTCCGATGCTTCGTCAAATTGGAATCAAATTCTATCCATGAGTTGTACGCTAATCTGTGGAGCCAGTAAGTTTTTGTTAAACATTTTGTAAGACTCAACCTTGTCAGATTCCCAGAGAACACTGATTTTTGCCAGCCTGACGCCTGAGCTACTGTCTCTACCTTATCAGTCTAACTGTTGTCTCCCTAACAAGGACAGTTACATGTGAGAAAGAACTACAGCTGGAAGGTCAGTGAACACTTGTGGGGTCAGCTAATGACTCCAAGCTAGACCTGTCTTACTTTTCCTTGTCACATCAATTAAGACACTTGAGAATGTTCTATAACATTTATGTTAATCTGTCACCATGTGCTGTGATGTATTGTGTTCTTTACTTTTAGTGTTGATTATTTGACATCTTAGCATTGAAGGTGTCTGAGCTAATATCCACACAAACATGCGCTTTCTTAGCAGTGCCTGTGTGACTGATTGCTGTGTTTGTGTATGGCTTTCCTTTGAAATGATGCCCAACTTTCCAACAATTGCTTTGTACGTAGCACTATTAGTAATACTGTATGAAGGGCACACTATTGCACACTGGTACTTGCATAAAGTGTTGTAAAAATCTTATTAGCCCGTCTTAAAATGGAACAAAGTACCATTTACGTCAGAATAATAAAACACTGAAGAAGAAGTGAGTTTTGAAATATGATTGCAAGAAGGGCTGCAGTGATTCCAAAAATAAACATAATAAGTGACTTATTACCATAATAATTACACAAATGAATCTAAAAATGGTCTGTATCCTTTCAAGTCTTCGCAACAACAAATCGTTTTACGCTACAACACATTCACCCATTCACACACTGTTCCCAGCTGTACAAGTGAGATGCTCCTAATTTCATAAAAACAAACCTTTTCAAAGGCAGATATATAATGCAGAGATATAAGATGGGGTCCAACATGCACATGCCATACTGATGCATGATGAGAGAAGCGTTGAGATTTACCTGATGCCTCTGACATCAAGGGGTTCATCAAACGGTTGACATCTTTTAAAATGTATTTCTAACTGCATGTCCTTCCTTCTTCCTTAGACTTTTAAGATATTGACAAAATAATCCTAATTCATGGTCCTCTTACAATTTACTGAAATGGATGGCATTTGCTCAGTCAAACTGAGTAAGATGTAAATATAAACTGTCAGGTACAGTTGAGGCTGTGGCACAGGAGGAAGAGCGTGTCGCCCACTTATCGGTAGGTGTTTGATCCCCGGCTCCTCAAGTCTGTATGTTGAAATAACTTTGTCTAAGATACTGGACCCAAAATTGCTCCTGAAGGCTGTGTCATCAGTGTATGAATGTGTGTGAACGGGTGAATGCGACATGTTTTGTTTGTGCTTTGACTGGTCGGAGGACTAGAAAGGCACAGTCTATTTGACATTGGAAACAGCAAGTACGTGGCCCTTGAATTGGTGAAACAAATTTCATGGAGTTTCGAGAGTACTCAGTGTGCTCTCTGGCTTTTCAGTCAATGTTGACGAAGTGTGGTTATAAATGGTATTAATATTGGAATGTACAAACCTAGAGTCTCCTTGTTTCAACACTGACCTGAGATAGATTGTGGTACCATAAAATATAGTGACTCAGGCATTTGTTTGTGTGCCAGTTAAGTCTGAATTGATCATTTTACGTTATTTGATTAATAAGTAACTCATTTGATGTCATACTACATGTATCGGTGCTGTCGGTGACCCCCATTGGTCTTTTGAGCACACATAGGGGCCTATAAATTCTCACACTGTCACTCACTGGGAGATATTCACTGTCACTAACTCCTGGGTTCCCACAGTCTTTCAAAGGTAAGAACAATGTCTGGCAAAGTAATGAATATGGCAGCATCTTTTGAAAATGTGATTTTAAGACTTCTTTTTTGTTTTTTCAGCAAGTTGGTGTCGTGGATGTGGTCCATAATGGGGGTGCCTGGGGGTTTGTTATTGCTCCTAATTTTGCAGATTTTAACAGGAAGCACTTCAGGTAGGTCATGTAACATCTTGTCATCTTGGGTGTAATTGTACTTAAAAAAAAAACACATTTAAATAGATTTTTGTGTGGCTCCTTTGCTCCTTCTGTGTCATGCATGGATGCACTTCAATTAAAAGTCTTTAATTAAATAGTACTCTGCCTTTCTTTCTCCACACACAAATTATAAATTCAGGCACCAACAACATTGGAATGAATTACATAGTTCATAAAAGAACTTTAAATTTCCCCAAATTTCTCTTTAAGTTGATTTAGGATAAAACATTTTATTTGGCACTGTCAGTATTTCTATTCCAGTGATTTAGTGAAGCCATATTATTCTTACATTAACTTCAATAATAAAAGTTAAGATGGCTTTTTTATAAATGCACCTCCAAATTAGCTGTCTGGTACATAATTTCACCCTTGCTTTTCTATAATATTAAATGATTATATAATTTTCAGATATTCATTAGAAAACTTCCTGGTCCAGACAAAAATTTAACATAAAATGTTAAACAGTTTTTCAAACAGGGTAACATGGAACATGTGGAATTGAAACAACTCCAGACGAATGTTGTGGAGTAACTATTTACATGTAATATTGTTAAATAATTTAATTACAAAATAAATTTAACTGTAATCCGCTACATTTACTGAAAAATGTATAACTAAATTACAGTTACTAATGGAAATGTTCATGATTACATTGGGGGTTACATCTGAACATTATCTGTAAAAAGCTCGGCTATATGTTGAATAATATTCATTTTGTTGCTCTGCATGTTTTTCATGTGCACAATGTATTCCTTTGCAATTTCCTGCCATAGTCCTTACATTACTATGATAAATTAATGTAACCTTCCCAACACTGCTCCAGATTAGGATCAGGGTGGGCAGACAATCAAAACTGTCCTGAAAAACACACAATCACAGGAGGTAAAGTAAAGTAATCCAAGACACATGAAGGAGGACTCTCATAAAATAAACCAGGACATAGCTAAAGTCAAACCCAAAACCATAACACAAAGTCCTTTCTACCTGAACTGCCTTTGTAATAATAATCAACCATGACACAGTATTAAGAGACCACGTAAAATCTTGCATTCAGTGGTGACGTCCTTGAAAATAAAATAATCAGTGGTAAACTTTGATGGTGATTGCACCTCTGGTATAACTCTACAGTGAGATTTGAACAGATGTTTTCTGTGTAATTGTACTCACAGGATAACTAAACATAAATGATCCTGAATTAGTTTTGTTCATTTACGCCAATTGCATGTAATTTCACTGTAGTTTCACCGTTTTACCTGGAAAAGCTACTTCAAATTACTTACATCATGCACAAGTTATGACAGGGACGCTTGTCTTCAGCTGTGATTCATGTCATGATGAAGCCACCTGCCTGGAGTCACGAGAAAGAGGAGACTCTCTCACCAGCCCGACGCTCTCTTGTGTCTGTAAAGATGGCTTTGTAGGCGATGGTCTCTCCTGTTACAATGCAAAATGCAGTGCAGTGACTCTTCTTGCTGTAGCCAAGGTTATCACTGGTCACCAGACAGTGGCTGTGTGGACACTGACGAGTGTTCCCTTCCAGACTCACCATGCATGCCACCCCAGGTTTGCCAAAACACCCCAGGCTCTTTCCAATGTTTGGAGTCTTCCTCCAGCTCAAGATCGAGCCCCTCCTCTCAATATGTCCAGTTCAACTGTGGAAACACAGTTTGTCCTTCAGGCATGGACTGCATCAGTTAAAATGGGGTTCTCCGTTGTGCTGACCCCTGTGAGCACTACACGTACTGAATGACGACTGGCGTTCAACGAATAACACATCAAATACAGTCATTCACTGTGACCGAAATGTTAACTGGCAAGGCTGGTATCGCCTGTTACTGTGGCAAACCAGTGCTCATATTCCAGAGAGGTGTATACCTGAAAACAGGTGTGGAACCCATGCTACTATGTGGATAACAGAGCCTCATCCCACACAGTCTGATGAAATAGTAAATCGTACTGTGTGTAATTCCTGGCACAACTGCTGCACTTTTGCGACACACACCATCCATGTCAAGCTCTGATATGGAAACTACTACGTCTATAAACTTGTAAAGCCTTCCACTTGCTCACTTGCATACTGTGCAGGTATTATTCCATTTTAAAATCTTTACACTGTAACAACAAATGCAATGTTCTCATCTAAAGCATTCATTTATATTTTAAGAAAGTAGTGAAGAAACTAATATCTTCTTGTTCTTAAAGTGAATGAATAATTTACGGACAAAAAAAATCTCACTGGCTTAGCACGAGTGTCTCACTGTTGTCTGTTGTTAACAGAGGTGAACACATCAGCAGTTTCACCAACCACACCGACTCCAAGACCTCAGAACACCACCTCTGCTCAGGTGATAGCTAACACCACAACACCCGCAGACAACAGCACAGGAGTTGAGGGGCAGGTCCGCCTGGCCGATGGAGGAAACAGCTCCTGCTCCGGTAGAGTGGAGATCTTCCTCCGAGGACAGTGGGGGACGGTGTGTGACGATGACTGGGGCCTGGTTGATGCTCAGGTGGTGTGCAGACAGCTGGGCTGCGGCAGGGCCGTGTCAGCACCACAAGGTGCACGTTTTGGACAGGGCAGAGGGCCCATCTGGCTGGATGATGTCACGTGCACAGGCAGCGAATCAAAGCTCACCCAGTGCAGGCACCGTGGGTTTGGATCTCACAATTGCGGTCACCATGAGGATGCTGGTGTCGTGTGTGAAGGTAGGTTTCCTTTTATATTTTGAAATGTTTTGACATAATACAGTTCAAATTACAAACTGAGGTTTACGGAGGTTCTCATCATTGGTATTTAGTATTTACCATCTATTTTCCTTTCTTCTTAAAAGAAAAAGATACGTTGATCCATAAATGGATTTTGTACCCAACAATAACATAATCAGTTCCATCAATAATAAAGAAAGGGGGCTTTTCCTCATGACTGCAGCTGGCAGTGCAGGCTATAGTTGTCTTGTGATTTCACAGAGACTTTTCTTTCAGTTCAACCAGGATCCAACAGCACAGTTTCACCAACCACACCGACTCCAAGACCTCAGAACACCACCTCTGCTCAGGTGATAGCTAACACCACAACACCCGCAGACAACAGCACAGGAGTTGAGGGGCAGGTCCGCCTGGCCGATGGAGGAAACAGCTCCTGCTCCGGTAGAGTGGAGATCTTCCTCCGAGGACAGTGGGGGACGGTGTGTGACGATGACTGGGGCCTGGTTGATGCTCAGGTGGTGTGCAGACAGCTGGGCTGCGGCAGGGCCGTGTCAGCACCACAAGGTGCACGTTTTGGACAGGGCAGAGGGCCCATCTGGCTGGATGATGTCACGTGCACAGGCAGCGAATCAAAGCTCACCCAGTGCAGGCACCGTGGGTTTGGATCTCACAATTGCGGTCACCATGAGGATGCTGGTGTCGTGTGTGAAGGTAGGTTTCCTTTTATATTTTGAAATGTTTTGACATAATACAGTTCAAATTACAAACTGAGGTTTACGGAGGTTCTCATCATTGGTATTTAGTATTTACCATCTATTTTCCTTTCTTCTTAAAAGAAAAAGATACGTTGATCCATAAATGGATTTTGTACCCAACAATAACATAATCAGTTCCATCAATAATAAAGAAAGGGGGCTTTTCCTCATGACTGCAGCTGGCAGTGCAGGCTATAGTTGTCTTGTGATTTCACAGAGACTTTTCTTTCAGTTCAACCAGGATCCAACAGCACAGTTTCACCAACCACACCGACTCCAAGACCTCAGAACACCACCACTGCTCAGGTGATAGCTAACACCACAACACCCGCAGACAACAGCACAGGAGTTGAGGGGCAGGTCCGCCTGGCCGATGGAGGAAACAGCTCCTGCTCCGGTAGAGTGGAGATCTTCCTCCGAGGACAGTGGGGGACGGTGTGTGACGATGACTGGGGCCTGGTTGATGCTCAGGTGGTGTGCAGACAGCTGGGCTGCGGCAGGGCCGTGTCAGCACCACAAGGTGCACGTTTTGGACAGGGCAGAGGGCCCATCTGGCTGGATGATGTCACGTGCACAGGCAGCGAATCAAAGCTCACCCAGTGCAGGCACCGTGGGTTTGGATCTCACAATTGCGGTCACCATGAGGATGCTGGTGTCGTGTGTGAAGGTAGGTTTCCTTTTATATTTTGAAATGTTTTGACATAATACAGTTCAAATTACAAACTGAGGTTTACGGAGGTTCTCATCATTGGTATTTAGTATTTACCATCTATTTTCCTTTCTTCTTAAAAGAAAAAGATACGTTGATCCATAAATGGATTTTGTACCCAACAATAACATAATCAGTTCCATCAATAATAAAGAAAGGGGGCTTTTCCTCATGACTGCAGCTGGCAGTGCAGGCTATAGTTGTCTTGTGATTTCACAGAGACTTTTCTTTCAGTTCAACCAGGATCCAACAGCACAGTTTCACCAACCACACCGACTCCAAGACCTCAGAACACCACCACTGCTCAGGTGATAGCTAACACCACAACACCCGCAGACAACAGCACAGGAGTTGAGGGGCAGGTCCGCCTGGCCGATGGAGGAAACAGCTCCTGCTCCGGTAGAGTGGAGATCTTCCTCCGAGGACAGTGGGGGACGGTGTGTGACGATGACTGGGGCCTGGTTGATGCTCAGGTGGTGTGCAGACAGCTGGGCTGCGGCAGGGCCGTGTCAGCACCACAAGGTGCACGTTTTGGACAGGGCAGAGGGCCCATCTGGCTGGATGATGTCACGTGCACAGGCAGCGAATCAAAGCTCACCCAGTGCAGGCACCGTGGGTTTGGATCTCACAATTGCGGTCACCATGAGGATGCTGGTGTCGTGTGTGAAGGTAGGTTTCCTTTTATATTTTGAAATGTTTTGACATAATACAGTTCAAATTACAAACTGAGGTTTACGGAGGTTCTCATCATTGGTATTTAGTATTTACCATCTATTTTCCTTTCTTCTTAAAAGAAAAAGATACGTTGATCCATAAATGGATTTTGTACCCAACAATAACATAATCAGTTCCATCAATAATAAAGAAAGGGGGCTTTTCCTCATGACTGCAGCTGGCAGTGCAGGCTATAGTTGTCTTGTGATTTCACAGAGACTTTTCTTTCAGTTCAACCAGGATCCAACAGCACAGTTTCACCAACCACACCGACTCCAAGACCTCAGAACACCACCACTGCTCAGGTGATAGCTAACACCACAACACCCGCAGACAACAGCACAGGAGTTGAGGGGCAGGTCCGCCTGGCCGATGGAGGAAACAGCTCCTGCTCCGGTAGAGTGGAGATCTTCCTCCGAGGACAGTGGGGGACGGTGTGTGACGATGACTGGGGCCTGGTTGATGCTCAGGTGGTGTGCAGACAGCTGGGCTGCGGCAGGGCCGTGTCAGCACCACAAGGTGCACGTTTTGGACAGGGCAGAGGGCCCATCTGGCTGGATGATGTCACGTGCACAGGCAGCGAATCAAAGCTCACCCAGTGCAGGCACCGTGGGTTTGGATCTCACAATTGCGGTCACCATGAGGATGCTGGTGTCGTGTGTGAAGGTAGGTTTCCTTTTATATTTTGAAATGTTTTGACATAATACAGTTCAAATTACAAACTGAGGTTTACGGAGGTTCTCATCATTGGTATTTAGTATTTACCATCTATTTTCCTTTCTTCTTAAAAGAAAAAGATACGTTGATCCATAAATGGATTTTGTACCCAACAATAACATAATCAGTTCCATCAATAATAAAGAAAGGGGGCTTTTCCTCATGACTGCAGCTGGCAGTGCAGGCTATAGTTGTCTTGTGATTTCACAGAGACTTTTCTTTCAGTTCAACCAGGATCCAACAGCACAGTTTCACCAACCACACCGACTCCAAGACCTCAGAACACCACCACTGCTCAGGTGATAGCTAACACCACAACACCCGCAGACAACAGCACAGGAGTTGAGGGGCAGGTCCGCCTGGCCGATGGAGGAAACAGCTCCTGCTCCGGTAGAGTGGAGATCTTCCTCCGAGGACAGTGGGGGACGGTGTGTGACGATGACTGGGGCCTGGTTGATGCTCAGGTGGTGTGCAGACAGCTGGGCTGCGGCAGGGCCGTGTCAGCACCACAAGGTGCACGTTTTGGACAGGGCAGAGGGCCCATCTGGCTGGATGATGTCACGTGCACAGGCAGCGAATCAAAGCTCACCCAGTGCAGGCACCGTGGGTTTGGATCTCACAATTGCGGTCACCATGAGGATGCTGGTGTCGTGTGTGAAGGTAGGTTTCCTTTTATATTTTGAAATGTTTTGACATAATACAGTTCAAATTACAAACTGAGGTTTACGGAGGTTCTCATCATTGGTATTTAGTATTTACCATCTATTTTCCTTTCTTCTTAAAAGAAAAAGATACGTTGATCCATAAATGGATTTTGTACCCAACAATAACATAATCAGTTCCATCAATAATAAAGAAAGGGGGCTTTTCCTCATGACTGCAGCTGGCAGTGCAGGCTATAGTTGTCTTGTGATTTCACAGAGACTTTTCTTTCAGTTCAACCAGGATCCAACAGCACAGTTTCACCAACCACACCGACTCCAAGACCTCAGAACACCACCACTGCTCAGGTGATAGCTAACACCACAACACCCGCAGACAACAGCACAGGAGTTGAGGGGCAGGTCCGCCTGGCCGATGGAGGAAACAGCTCCTGCTCCGGTAGAGTGGAGATCTTCCTCCGAGGACAGTGGGGGACGGTGTGTGACGATGACTGGGGCCTGGTTGATGCTCAGGTGGTGTGCAGACAGCTGGGCTGCGGCAGGGCCGTGTCAGCACCACAAGGTGCACGTTTTGGACAGGGCAGAGGGCCCATCTGGCTGGATGATGTCACGTGCACAGGCAGCGAATCAAAGCTCACCCAGTGCAGGCACCGTGGGTTTGGATCTCACAATTGCGGTCACCATGAGGATGCTGGTGTCGTGTGTGAAGGTAGGTTTCCTTTTATATTTTGAAATGTTTTGACATAATACAGTTCAAATTACAAACTGAGGTTTACGGAGGTTCTCATCATTGGTATTTAGTATTTACCATCTATTTTCCTTTCTTCTTAAAAGAAAAAGATACGTTGATCCATAAATGGATTTTGTACCCAACAATAACATAATCAGTTCCATCAATAATAAAGAAAGGGGGCTTTTCCTCATGACTGCAGCTGGCAGTGCAGGCTATAGTTGTCTTGTGATTTCACAGAGACTTTTCTTTCAGTTCAACCAGGATCCAACAGCACAGTTTCACCAACCACACCGACTCCAAGACCTCAGAACACCACCACTGCTCAGGTGATAGCTAACACCACAACACCCGCAGACAACAGCACAGGAGTTGAGGGGCAGGTCCGCCTGGCCGATGGAGGAAACAGCTCCTGCTCCGGTAGAGTGGAGATCTTCCTCCGAGGACAGTGGGGGACGGTGTGTGACGATGACTGGGGCCTGGTTGATGCTCAGGTGGTGTGCAGACAGCTGGGCTGCGGCAGGGCCGTGTCAGCACCACAAGGTGCACGTTTTGGACAGGGCAGAGGGCCCATCTGGCTGGATGATGTCACGTGCACAGGCAGCGAATCAAAGCTCACCCAGTGCAGGCACCGTGGGTTTGGATCTCACAATTGCGGTCACCATGAGGATGCTGGTGTCGTGTGTGAAGGTAGGTTTCCTTTTATATTTTGAAATGTTTTGACATAATACAGTTCAAATTACAAACTGAGGTTTACGGAGGTTCTCATCATTGGTATTTAGTATTTACCATCTATTTTCCTTTCTTCTTAAAAGAAAAAGATACGTTGATCCATAAATGGATTTTGTACCCAACAATAACATAATCAGTTCCATCAATAATAAAGAAAGGGGGCTTTTCCTCATGACTGCAGCTGGCAGTGCAGGCTATAGTTGTCTTGTGATTTCACAGAGACTTTTCTTTCAGTTCAACCAGGATCCAACAGCACAGTTTCACCAACCACACCGACTCCAAGACCTCAGAACACCACCACTGCTCAGGTGATAGCTAACACCACAACACCCGCAGACAACAGCACAGGAGTTGAGGGGCAGGTCCGCCTGGCCGATGGAGGAAACAGCTCCTGCTCCGGTAGAGTGGAGATCTTCCTCCGAGGACAGTGGGGGACGGTGTGTGACGATGACTGGGGCCTGGTTGATGCTCAGGTGGTGTGCAGACAGCTGGGCTGCGGCAGGGCCGTGTCAGCACCACAAGGTGCACGTTTTGGACAGGGCAGAGGGCCCATCTGGCTGGATGATGTCACGTGCACAGGCAGCGAATCAAAGCTCACCCAGTGCAGGCACCGTGGGTTTGGATCTCACAATTGCGGTCACCATGAGGATGCTGGTGTCGTGTGTGAAGGTAGGTTTCCTTTTATATTTTGAAATGTTTTGACATAATACAGTTCAAATTACAAACTGAGGTTTACGGAGGTTCTCATCATTGGTATTTAGTATTTACCATCTATTTTCCTTTCTTCTTAAAAGAAAAAGATACGTTGATCCATAAATGGATTTTGTACCCAACAATAACATAATCAGTTCCATCAATAATAAAGAAAGGGGGCTTTTCCTCATGACTGCAGCTGGCAGTGCAGGCTATAGTTGTCTTGTGATTTCACAGAGACTTTTCTTTCAGTTCAACCAGGATCCAACAGCACAGTTTCACCAACCACACCGACTCCAAGACCTCAGAACACCACCACTGCTCAGGTGATAGCTAACACCACAACACCCGCAGACAACAGCACAGGAGTTGAGGGGCAGGTCCGCCTGGCCGATGGAGGAAACAGCTCCTGCTCCGGTAGAGTGGAGATCTTCCTCCGAGGACAGTGGGGGACGGTGTGTGACGATGACTGGGGCCTGGTTGATGCTCAGGTGGTGTGCAGACAGCTGGGCTGCGGCAGGGCCGTGTCAGCACCACAAGGTGCACGTTTTGGACAGGGCAGAGGGCCCATCTGGCTGGATGATGTCACGTGCACAGGCAGCGAATCAAAGCTCACCCAGTGCAGGCACCGTGGGTTTGGATCTCACAATTGCGGTCACCATGAGGATGCTGGTGTCGTGTGTGAAGGTAGGTTTCCTTTTATATTTTGAAATGTTTTGACATAATACAGTTCAAATTACAAACTGAGGTTTACGGAGGTTCTCATCATTGGTATTTAGTATTTACCATCTATTTTCCTTTCTTCTTAAAAGAAAAGATACGTTGATCCATAAATGGATTTTGTACCCAACAATAACATAATCAGTTCCATCAATAATAAAGAAAGGGGGCTTTTCCTCATGACTGCAGCTGGCAGTGCAGGCTATAGTTGTCTTGTGATTTCACAGAGACTTTTCTTTCAGTTCAACCAGGATCCAACAGCACAGTTTCACCAACCACACCGACTCCAAGACCTCAGAACACCACCACTGCTCAGGTGATAGCTAACACCACAACACCCGCAGACAACAGCACAGGAGTTGAGGGGCAGGTCCGCCTGGCCGATGGAGGAAACAGCTCCTGCTCCGGTAGAGTGGAGATCTTCCTCCGAGGACAGTGGGGGACGGTGTGTGACGATGACTGGGGCCTGGTTGATGCTCAGGTGGTGTGCAGACAGCTGGGCTGCGGCAGGGCCGTGTCAGCACCACAAGGTGCACGTTTTGGACAGGGCAGAGGGCCCATCTGGCTGGATGATGTCACGTGCACAGGCAGCGAATCAAAGCTCACCCAGTGCAGGCACCGTGGGTTTGGATCTCACAATTGCGGTCACCATGAGGATGCTGGTGTCGTGTGTGAAGGTAGGTTTCCTTTTATATTTTGAAATGTTTTGACATAATACAGTTCAAATTACAAACTGAGGTTTACGGAGGTTCTCATCATTGGTATTTAGTATTTACCATCTATTTTCCTTTCTTCTTAAAAGAAAAGATACGTTGATCCATAAATGGATTTTGTACCCAACAATAACATAATCAGTTCCATCAATAATAAAGAAAGGGGGCTTTTCCTCATGACTGCAGCTGGCAGTGCAGGCTATAGTTGTCTTGTGATTTCACAGAGACTTTTCTTTCAGTTCAACCAGGATCCAACAGCACAGTTTCACCAACCACACCGACTCCAAACCTCAGAACACCACCACTGCTCAGGTGATAGCTAACACCACAACACCCGCAGACAACAGCACAGGAGTTGAGGGGCAGGTCCGCCTGGCCGATGGAGGAAACAGCTCCTGCTCCGGTAGAGTGGAGATCTTCCTCCGAGGACAGTGGGGGACGGTGTGTGACGATGACTGGGGCCTGGTTGATGCTCAGGTGGTGTGCAGACAGCTGGGCTGCGGCAGGGCCGTGTCAGCACCACAAGGTGCACGTTTTGGACAGGGCAGAGGGCCCATCTGGCTGGATGATGTCACGTGGAAATGAATCATCGATAACAGACTGCAGACATCGGGATTTGGATCCACAATGCGGTCACATGAGATGCTGCGTTGTGTGTGAATGTAGGTTTCCTTTTATATTTTGAAATGTTTTGACATAATACAGTTCATCATTGGTATAAAGTATTTACCATCTAATTTCCTTTCTTCTTTCTCTCACACTTCTCTGACATTATATCTTCCTCTATAGTCCAGCATCCTGCACTCCAGTCTGCAGAGCTTATTTGTGGCCATGATAAACTCTACGTGGGCTGGATATGGCAAGCTTGACATCTTCTGGTTTGAACCCATTCTCGGGCAACCTAGCATCCCGCAATTGCTCCTGGGTCAAGTGCATGATGATGCAGTGTGGTACGAAGTCCAGGCCACAGAAGGTGCCTGTGGAAATACACTAAGGGTAAAGACTTAACTTGTGTTTTTTTCTGCTGTGAACCTGATTATTTAATCTATAGAGACATTTTTATGTTGTCCTGTTGTTTTTTAAACTACCAGATAATGTGCATCTGCTCAGCATGGGCATTGCTACAAATTCTGGGGGCCTTTAAATAATGTATCTTGTGCCCCCTTCTTTAGCTGTGGGCACCTGAATCTTCAGCTGCTGTCACTGCCACTGCCACTTACAGCTAGGATGTATTATTATGCTATCTTCTGTGTAATGTATGTTTCTGTTCAGGGTTAAACCCATAAATCTAGCATAATGCTACTGCTGTCGATATCACATTTTAAAAATCACCCCTAAAAACCACCACCCTTGCCCAAGTAACCGCAAACTCCTCAGTCAGGCAGCTGAAGGGTCGCTGTAGCTTGTTATTCTGCTTATAAGACAAGGCTGCTCAGACTTTGTGGAAGTCACAGCCACCATGGCAAGAAGTGGCTGATCTTCCTCATTAAACAGCAACGGTCACAAAACACCTGGATCCCATGTTGATTGAGCCAGGCCTTTAACTTCCCAGCAACCCAGAGCTATCCTCCTCTGCCTGTCATACATCAAATACCTTGGTCTCCTGGAGTACAGCTGTGTCCTAGAGCGTGCTATGGACTGCTTAATTCTTAACTGGCCTCTCAGTGAATCTGAATACCTCCAAGGAAGACACAGAATTTCTTATTAACTTAATCCCTCCTTAAGACCATGGACCTTGACCAGTTTTAAAACTCAACCGGGCCCAGGTGATTAATCTCTCAGGACCCTTGAGGATCCATCTGCATTTAGACGCTGATGTTGTTATTGTCAAGCCATCAATGGAGCTGTGGAACACCAGACATGGTGACAGAGTCTCTATACTTCACATTTGCTGATTCGACAACCATGTTCATGGCAAACAGGATCACTGAAATGGTGCATTCAGAAATGATCCCCTTCTCCAGCTGGTGCCAAGCTTATGTTGCTTGGCATAACAAGAGCCTGGGGCACCTCTTGTAGACCTTAAGAGGGCCTGGGGCTGAGCTTGTTTTAGCTTCACTTCAAGGCTCCCTGGTTTGAACTGTGGCATTTGTTCTGGCATGAAAGCCCTTCAGTCCCCCAGGTCTTGGTCTCTGCATCCAGCCCAGTCCCTTTACTGAATTCAAACCCAGGCTCCTGTGGTAACTCAGCCTTGATATGTGGTACTGGCTCTACCTTGTGAGCTACTGGGGAGCCTCATTTACTGCTTCTGAATGCCAAACCCCTCAGCAGCAGTGTTGACAATGATGGTTGACATTGACTGGCACTTCTGATCTGCATCACTTCTGGCTGTGCTTCTAGGATCCCGTCCATATCCTCATTTGTAATCCCTTATTTGTTAGCTGCTGGCCCCTTGCCCTTTCAGTGTTCAGAACCGCCCTGGCGTGGAGCTTGCAGTACAAAGGTTCTGGCACTGTAGGGGGACTCCTGTGTGGCAACTCCTGTATCTCATAAAGATAACAACTGGTCTGGTCTGGTGGATCTTCAGGCCACATGGGTTTTTGCAGACGTCACACAACTGGACTATTTAGCACATAGTCTTGACTGGAGAATCTTTCCCCAAATTGTAAATCTCTTCTTCAGGGAGGTCAGGTCACCAAGAATGGAGAGGGATACAGTGACAATTACAGTTTCTCTAACCACTTGCTCATGCTGATGCTAACAGAAAATCCTCTCAAGTTGACATAATCATTCAACTGAGTGATCATTTAATCCTCTGTCTTTCAGACCAACCGCACTCATGCCATCTACTCCAACAGTTTATCTATCTACCCAATAAGAAATGGGTCCTTCGTCGTTCCTGTGAGTCTTCCTTTCTCTTGTGCTTATCCCCTGGACACAAACGCAAGCCTGAATGTGACTGTCAGACCATTCCTGCCGTAAGTAGCCTTTTACTGAATGTAACCAATTTTATGATAATAAAGTTCCTGATGACATCACATCACAAAAATTATGGCAAATCTGGTGAAAATTGGTCTAGTATATTTGTTGCATACATTGCTGTCTAACAGTGTCTTTTTTGATATAACCACTAGGAGTCACTAAAGTCAGTCATTTTCAAATCCTCCACACAGAAGCTTAGATAGAGTGAAATTCTTTCGATCTTGCTGATCAGCATTGTTGTAACACACAGATAAATACATCTGCAAATTAGAAAGCAAGGCCTTATAGATCCTAGTCTAGATGTCCGTGATGACTATCCAACTGTTTCATATAATTCACAGTGGCAAGTGATATATAAGTGTGCTATTTTAATCCTGTTTTAGTCTAATGATGAATCCAATAATCTAGTGCCAGTGGAGACAGCATAAGCGTGCCCTCTATAATTCAGTATAAATAATATGGTGTATGGTATGTATCCATCCTAGTTAACAGTTAGTCCCCTGATTATGGCATGAAGCACCACAACAGTACAGAAACCTTAGGCACCACAGCGAGGATGTACCTGAAGACACCAGAGGGATGGTTATGCTATCTAGCTGATATACAATGAAAAGAACATTTTAAGTAGTTGCCATTTGTTTGTATCTGAATGAAAGAAACAGCTTTAATCAAAGAGAAATGTCAAGACCTTTCTGGGATAAAAAAAATAAAGCAATAAAAAAAAGCCATAACAAAAAAGCATATTTTCTTGACAGGCTGGAAAGTGGCCTTTCAGGCTCGGGATCCAAAGCTAGAGCCTCCATGTCTCTGTTCCACAACTCCAGCTACACTGAGACTTATCCAGCAGGCCAGGTCATCCTGCCAGTGGGGTCACCGTTGTACGTGGGCGTTTCTGTGGAGGAGAGAGATCCACGCTTTGCAGTCGTTCTGGAAGACTGCCATGCCACTCACTCATCAAACCCTGACGACCCCATGAGATACTATCTCATCCAGAACAAGTAAGTGTCCCTCTAGAGCACCAGCAGATGGTTTGTGGAGGATAATATAAATGGGAAAAAGTTAAATGTATAGAGATGTGTAATAGCCCTGATGACCCTCTCCATCCTCTCTGCCAGGTGTCCCACTGACCGCCAACAGGTGTCAGTGACTGAGAGCGGCTCGTCCCTGCAAGCTCGTTTCTCTGCCCTGTCGTTCCTGCTCCAGAATGAATACCGAGACATTTTCCTTCATTGCAGCCTCAGCCTGTGTGACCAAAGGAGCTTCTCCTGTGTTCCAGTAAGTCACACATGTCACTTCAACAATAGCATTGTCAATCCATGTTCAATGCTGCTTAAACACTGGGATTTGATGGTATCTCTCTTTTTACACCCTCTCCCACCATGTAGCATTGCACAAGTAGGACGTACCGCTCTGTTTCCAGCTCTGATCCTTTGATGCCCCTCACCGTTGGACCAATCAGTTGTGAGTATAATGATAATTTGGTCTCAGGGCCGATGTCTCAAAACAATGAACTATATGGAATTAATAACCATGTTTTTTCTCTTTTTTATTTATCTTTAGGGGACAAGTCACCTTCGGGAGCTGGTAACACACAGTTATAATACAAACACATTGCATATTGTGATTTTGTTTGGTTACTAAAAACCAAAAAAAACCCATGGGGTTTAAAATAAAAATGATACCAAAAGCTACATTCTGCTGTGTTTATTTCTAGCACAGGTGTGATTTGACAGTGTGTGTGTATATATATATATATATATATATATATATATATATATATATATGTATGTGTGTGTGATATAAAATCACTTTGTTTAAAAACAAAACCTTGAACCTTGATGGTGGAACATGCACTAGTCAACAACAAAATGTAAAACCAAATTGCAACTATGAGGTCTCAAACCAACTAAGCAAAATCTTGGGTGTTGATGTTGGGCTGAAACTGACTGAACAGTTTGGTGTGTCACATGCAGTTTTCATGCATAATAACCACAGAAGAAACCTTTTTCAAATCCTGTCCTTTTGTGCAAAAACATGTAGGCTACACTATATTGCCAAAAGTTTTGGGCCACCTGCCTTTACATGCACATGAAGTTTAATGACATCCCGTTCTTAACCCGTTTAATGCGGAGTTGGCCCACCCTTTGCAGCTAAAACAGCGTCAACTCTTCTGGGAAGGCTGTCCACAAGGTTTAGGAGTGTAGTCACAGGAATTTTTGACCATTCTAGAAGCACATTTGTGAGGTCAGGCACAGATGTTGGACGAGAAGGCCTGGCCTGGCCTCCAATTCATCTCAAAGGTGTTCTATCAGGTTGAGGTCAGGACTCTGTGCAGGCCAGTCAAGTTCTCCACACCAAACCCGCTCATCATGTCTTTATGGACCTTGCTTTGTGCACTGGTGCGCAGTCATGTTGGGACAGGAAGGAGCTATCCCCAAACTGTTTCCACAACTTTGGGAGCATGAAATTGTCCAAACTGTCTTGCTATGCTGAAGCATTAACTGTTACGGTGGGTGTGGGTTGGTGAGGCAGGGTTGAGCAGGTTGGAGGACCCAAACACAGGACACAGAGCAGGTATAGTTCAGTGGTTTAATTAAACAAACAAAAGGCGAGCACACTTACATACTGAGTGAGTCCATAAAAAGCCATAATGAGAAACTAAACCAAAATCCAACACAAGTAATCCAAAACACCAAGAGCAGAGACTAGAAAGACAAAATACATGACAAGACAGGAGCCACAACTGATAGGGAGTAACACCAACAATGACCAGACAAGGGCTGAACAGAAAGACCACACATATATACCAGGGATAACGAGCAGGGCGGGAGCAACACAGGTGACAGACATGAGGCTAACGAGGGAGGCAGAGAGACAGCAGGAAAACAGAGAGGCAGGCAGGCAGAGACAACAGGGGGTAACAGAGAGAACACTTAGACAAGCAGTCATGGGTGAATAACCAAGAATGCACAGGTACGAGCTAAACAGAACCAGTAAATGAACAAGGGAATACACAAGACAAAACCGGGAACACAAGAGCAGGAGTAAACACAAAAGATATTAACTAATGTACAGGACTAGGAACTAACTGAACAAGACTACACAGAGAAACACAGAACCAAAAACAGACTTAAACAGGAAAGACATGAACACAAAAACCACACTCCTAACATTAACAGTTCCTTTCACTGGAACTAAGGGGCCAAGTCCAACCCCTGAAAAACAACCCCAACCATAATTCCCCTCCACCAGACTTTACACTTGGCACAATGCAGTCAGGGAATTACTGTTCTCCTGGCAACTGCCAAACCCAGACTCATCCATCGGATCGCCAGACAGAAGCGTGATTCGTTACTCCAGAGAACAGGTCTCCACTGCTCTAGTGTCCAGTGGCAGCGTGCTTTACACCACTGCAGCCAATGCTTTGCATTGCACTTTGTTATAATACAACTAACAGTTGACCATGGACTATATAGTGAGGAAATTTCATGAATGGACTTATTGCACAGGTAGTAACCTATCACAGTACCACGCTTCACTGAGCTCCTAAGAGCGACCCATTCTTTCAAAAATGTGTGTAGAAGCAGTCTGCATGCCTAGATGCTTGATTTTATACAAATGTGGCCATGGAAGTGGTTGGAACACCTGAATTCAATGATTCGGAGCGGTGTCCTAAAACATTTGGCAATATAGTGTATTTTATTAAACTGGATTACAGGCATGAAACCATGCCTGGCTAACTGCCACAGAATTATATTCAAACAGAAGTCCCTTTACTATCTGACATACTTATCACAATCAAAAAATTCTGTTTACTTTAAAATGTCGGAAGCATTTTTGACATTATTGACTCAGTCGGGCCTGCAACCTGATCAGGGTATCAGTTTCACCTGGGTTGTTTTGTTTCATGTGCACACAAACATGCTTATGTACAGTACTCACCAATAATAATAATAATCTTTATTTGTAGAGCACTTTTCAAAAACAAGTTACAAAGTGCTTTAACAAGTGTAAAGACAATAATACCCAAAAGACAATAATACAAAAAAAATACAAGATAAAAGCATGAAAACATTGAAAAGACTAAAATACATGTTTAAGATAAATATAAAATAAGTAAAATAGAATAAAATAAAAGGGATAAAATAAAGTCAAATAAAATCGGGAAAGGCTCTCCTATAAAAGTATGTTTTAAGAAGGGACTTAAAAGAGTTCACTGACTCAGCCGACCTGATTTCCTCGGGCAGGCTGTTCCAGAGCCTCGGGGCCCTGACAGCAGACGCTCTGTCCCCTTTATTTTTCAGTCGAGACTCTGGAACAGACAACAGACTCTGCCCGAGGATCTCAAGGTACGTGCTGGTGTGTATGGGACTAAAAGTTCAGAAATATAACAAGGCGAGAGGCCATGAAGAGCTTTAAAAGTGATCAATAAAATGTTAAAGTCAATTCTAAAACATACTGGGAGCCAGTGTAATGAAGCTAAAATAGGAGTAATGTGGTCATATTTCTTTGTTCTGGTTAAAAGCCTGGCAGCTGAGTTCTGGACAGTCTGGAGTCGATCAATAAATTTTTGGGTTAAACAGGTAAAAAGGCTGTTGCAATAATCCAGGCGTGATGACACGAAGGCGTGTAAAATGGTCTTGGTGTCCTTAAAAGTTAACATAGATCGAATTTTTGCTATATTTCTAAGTTGATAAAAACATGATTGAACAAGCTTTGTGGTGTGCTGCTCGAAATTTAAATTACAAACCAAACAAACCAAGCACCAAGGTTCTTAATGTGATTTACTAGGGAACCAGCAGATGGCAGTTTTGTCATCTTCTGGGATGCGATGACCAGGATTTCTGTTTTGTCTGAGTTCAGCAATATGTTTCTTCTAATATATATATATTTTTTAACTTTGGTTGTTGATTGTGTAATCTGAGATGTGGCGTTCTGTTCTTATTCGTTTGATTGGTGAGAGCTGTCATATCCTCTTTTTATTTTTATTATATCGACATTAAAATATTCAAGTTTCAAAATAATTGGATCTGTCTCACATTAGATCATGTCCTGGGCACCATCTGTTATCACATGCATGTGAGCAGCGATATCCTCGTAGTCCATTTGCCATTTTTAGATATATAACGTATCAGCCTTGGTATTGATATTGTTCATCCTGGACCTGGTATCCGATCCACACCAGACTGTGTGGTGTTGACCACCACAGCTTTCACTTGCTTTCTGGTCTGGTGGGTGTGAGTGCAATAAATTCAAGCAACAAAATGTACACTCATATTTAACATGTCTTATTTAAAATAGTAACAAAGTGGTAAGTTAAATAAAGTGGTGAGTAACCATAGTGTTAGTGGTTGTTCACCTCAGCTGAAGGTCACAGGATCCACTCCTGCTCTGCTCTCTAGGAAACTCATAATAATGGCCAGCGAATGCAGGGGGGCGTGGATTTCTAGCCACTTTTTGATTGACACGCCTAGCGCCCAATAGAAAGGCGTGCTGGCACAGAGGAGGCCGGGCATCGAGTGACCAATGTTTCCCAAACGGGTTTAGGGTTTAAGGCAGTTGGGGTTATTTTCCGCCCTGTGTTGCCCGTTTATATTATTTATCCGTCAACTTTTCTCTGCCGACAGCCGCCGTCATGTCCAACAACAATGCCAGCAACAACTTAATTGTCGCTCAAAGGGCCGTGAAGCAGCTCCGGTTAGAGGCCAGTGTCCGGAGGATAAAGGTACGAACATTGACACACAAACACGGAAGACAGAGACTAACGTTACTGTTGAATGGCGGAGACAAACTGTTGCAGAAATGACACCGACTGCACTCTCACATCATAGGCTCAACAAAGTGGTCTCCAAAGTCACACGCAGGCTGGTTTCTGGTGGACTTTTAAACCACGACTTCAAGTTTAAGTTACGTTTCAGGGAAGCGTATCCACTTTGACGCGTCATCGTATCGAGAGCAGTGACACGTTCATTAAAATCTCATAGTCTTCGTTTTCTAAAGGAAACAACGGGACAGTGTCTACTAAAAAGTTACACAGTGGAGGACACACCCGCCCGTGTAACGTTGTGGCGCTCTTGTAAATTTTACGCAAAACAGTGGCAGTAAGTGTGAGTATGCAGCTAAATGAGAGACTGGGTTTGACAGAGCATTACAGATACCGTACATGTGATTTGCTGCTATGTTTCGTCCCACACACGAATATTGTCTGGCTCTGCAGGTGTCCGTGGCTGCTGCTGAGCTGAGAAACTTCTGTCTGCAAAATGCCTCCAAGGACCCTCTCCTGGTCGGGGTCCCCTCTAGTGATAATCCCTTCAGACCCCCTAAGTCCTGCTCCCTGTTCTGAGGTAGGTCTGCTCGTCCCTCCACTGAGGCTGCAGGATGGTGAGTTAATATGTGCAGTTAATTACATTAGGGAAGAAATTAATTACACATTCACAGTTTACACTGAAACCAGTCTACTAAATTTAGGCAGGTGCTATAAAGTCCCACTAGAGAAGCAGTATAAAAGGTCTAATATTTCACATGTCTTGACTTTATTGAACCCTGCATACAGGTTTGGGGCTAGATTAATTAGCAAATTATTTTCTTGACTAACCATTTTGTCTATTAACAGCATTTGACCATCACAGGTTACCAATGTGACATCTCCAGATTGATCTTTTGTCCAACTAACTGCCCACAACCTAAATATATTATATATTTACATGTAGTAAATGATTTAAAATGAACAAATAGCCAAAACCTGACAATGGAGAAGCTGGTACAAGCACATGTTTGACATTTTTGCTTGAAAAACGACTCAAAAGATTAATAGACTATTAAAATAATTGCAGATTAAGTTTCCCTCAGTGGAATAAGAATGGGATAATTGACAAATTGTTTCAGCTCCAATTATGTTGCTAATTAGGCCGCTGGTTCTGTGCCTATTTTTTTATTGTGCTGTACTATGCTTTGACCTCTGCTATAATTTATTTATTAATATAGATGCTTGACCACCTTGTGAAGGCAAAAGCAAGTTTAGACCTGTTGTGGATAAATTCTAATCTAATATCTAATTATACTTTTGTTACAAATACAACAATTAATCAATAAGTCAATTGACAGAAATTAATTGGCAACTATTTTAATAACTAATTGTATACATCATTTGTAAAGCAAAAGTGCCAAACATTTGATTGTTCCAGCTTCTGTGAGTTTAGTGCTTTATCTTTTAGCAGTCATTAGTCTTATCACACATGACTACAGTTCAGTGGCTTGGTCAAGTGCCTCCATAATTTAGATGCAAATACGGCTCAGAACAAAGCACCATTCTGTGCATTTTGTCAGTGTTTTTAAAACACATGTTGGTGACTTGCATACAACTTTATCTTGACATGTCTGTTGTTATTCTACTTAAACATTTTAGAAATATTGTAAACCAGTCACCAAGTTGCTGGAAATCTTTCACAATTTTGTTCAGATTAACAAGATTACCATACTTGGCAAGCTGGTGTGGGTAAATCTAAATGACCATAACAATGAACAAAGTGCAGTGAAAAATGTACTGAGCCATGGTTTAATGGACTTCTGCATGTAATTTTAGAATATATATAAATATCATAAAATTAATATACAGTTAGGTAATATCAGTGCCACTTAAGTGTGGTGTTATAAATAGTTGTGACACACGAGATCCTTAGCAAGCTGCTAAATGGAATTCAGCCGTCATTCATTTTATTATTTCCATTTTCCTATTGTGATGTGTACAAATGTCTTCAGAGAAAAGAGACCTATAAACATTGTATTTTTAATGTGTGATTAGTTTAAGTGTTTCTGTTTTTCTGTTCACAGCAGAGAGAACGGTGGTTGAGAATTTCTGAATTTATCCGTCGAAGGCTTTCTTCACTTGTACTTGATGTCGCTGTGTCCTCAACCAGCAGCTCTTCCTGGGATGATGCAACGTGGGACTGATTGGTTCGGGGGAGGGAACTTTTCCACTTGTTTGCCAAAACTAATGGTATCATAACTCCCATCTGTTACATTAAAGCAGGGCCAAACTCTACATGTTCAAAAACAACAGTTATTGACACTAACTTGACTAATGATTAAGCCGTTCTCGGTTTACCTAGTACTTAACATGTCCGGTCTCAGTTTCCTGACCTAATGGTTTCTGTCTCCAGTCAGTGAAATTCGGCCCATGTGATTGGCTACTGTGTGTACAACTTACTCATGTGTTTTATGTAGCAGGTGGAGGGAAAAAAAATCAAACATTAATTTAATATTATATTGATACACACACACTATATTTCATATTGTGGCCAAAGATGCACTGAAAGCTTTTGAGCTAAACTGATTGGTGTCTTAAACATTCATGTATTTGTGGCAATGGTCAGGTGTTACTACTACTCTGAAGTACAACATGGTACAGACTTTAATCAGTGCAGGGCATGTGATTGTCGTATAACCTTTTATCCAATCTTTTTTCTGTATATAATTTACAGCCTGCTAAGGTTGCTTTATTAGCATGTATGTTCCTGTATTAAAAGAAAAAACACGCCAAGGCCTTAACACTATTTGGGTAATACAACCTGATAGCAAATTTAATGTATATCACTTTAGATACACAAATGGCCAAACACAGATGTTCATGTAAGTCAAAATTTCCAAATAGTTTGTATGATATGAATCATGCTGTAGTGACTTGTTGCATTAATCGTTTTCCACACTGGAATCATATTCCAATCAACCAAAACTTTCACCACTGTTGGCCTGTATTTTTTTCTTAACTTAGCTACTGTGGGCAACCTTTTTAGAAATTAAATTACTTTTTCGGACACTTATGAATGGTGCATGTGATTTTATTTTATTTTTTTTGAATATCAATCATGAAAATAGCACTTTGTAATTGTTTGAGACTCTCCCATAAGCCTTCAGGTTTTTTGCTACCAAAACGTGTGAACAGGTGAAAGGAGATGGTTCGTAGAGGTTGAAGCCTCTTTGTTTGATTTCAGTGTCAAGTCAGCGTAAGATTGTTCCGGTGTGTGAGTAAAAGCAGGAGGATATGCAAACCATGACATTTCCAAAAATATCATTGGACCAAAGTCAGCTGTGTCTGGTCATAGTAAAGTGAATGGGGTGGTTATTTAGCCCACCAGTGAACTGCTGGACTAAATTTATTTGGTCAAATAATGACTATGGTAGCATCTGACCATACTAGACAGCAGCTCCATTAACTCTGCAAATTCATGAGTCACAGTGTGTCAGAATCAGGATTGTTTCATATAAAGACAGGGTCGTGATTTATTGATATTTGTAAGGGAAAGACTAAACATGTTGAGAAGACATTCACACCATGCTCAAACTCACTTGAAAGGTACCACCCCATGCTGACGTGTTGTGAATTTTGGTACTGGAAACAGGTTCATGCTCCATAGAAGTTTAGAAAATGCTGAGGTAAAACTAAATTGGCTGATGTCTTGGGGATTATTCAATGTGTTCCTCCCATCATGGATATTTCTTTGAATTTGGCCCCAACGCCTTCAGAAAATAGTAAATACTTATAAACTGGTGCACATGTTAAAGTTTAGTTGGAATCCGTTTGACTGCATAAATTTGAAATCCTGAAGCTTCCATCTTCTGGCACCATGGTCGGTGGTAATTAGCAGAAGTGCCATCACCTGGAAATAAAAGGTGGCATCTGTCAGAGGAAGCTCAGGTAAGGCACTTGAAACTGATGCATTGTCACTATAGTAATGTTAATGTTCAAAGAACGTATTATTCCCATAAGGTATCTGTACATAGTGCGTTGATCCTGTTGTGGTACAACTTTACATTTGAGTAGAATGTCCCTTGTTGCTAACATGTGAATATGGCACCCAGATGGCTTCCAGGTTTGGCCAAGGAGAGTTACAAGATGCCCGGA